TTCCAATCCAAAAAAGACAAGGCCATCGGCCCGCCAGTCACTTCGACAGACGCATGATATTCGACACGGAACCTCCCGGTCGAAGAAGAGTCAGCGGCGAGGTGATCCTACGAGCGCAAGTGTATTAGATCATTCAGTGAGAACCTGAGATAAACAGATTTTCAAACAAATCCGCTCTTGAACAGAAGCTATAACTAGGACGTCGAAAGTTTGGGTCCATGGGATCGTCACCAGGCTTTTTTTTCCGCAACCTGGTGACGAGTGGCGCTGCCACGAAGTAATAATATTTTGGATGTCGATGCTCTTGCGAGTGCTGGCGATAGATCAGCACAAAGAGCCTCTGCCACTTCATCTACCGCCCGAGCTATGTGCGCGCTCTGGGAAAGTTGTGTGCGTCACGCATGAAGCCCGCGACAGATGTTTCTCAGCGGCTACATACCACAACAAAAAATCCACAGAGAAGGCAAATTCCCTGAAAGCGCGGTGAAAATTCGCCAACGCTCGGAAAAGCAACCGAACCACCATTGTATAAACCTCTATATTGTGAAAATTCATTCAATAAATAGGTCAGAGATTACCGCATATAGTGAAGTAATAAGGTCAGAGATTACTCGTCTGACACGGTGACACGGTGAGTTTACCACTTTCATCGGCGAACAACCGAACCCTTGACCTTCCAAATAAAGAGGAAACAACAAAGTTAACCAAACCACCAAACCTAGGAGGACTCCACTTAAGGTGGAAAGAGTGGGACAATTCAGAAAGAGTCTCACCAAACCGAGGAGGACTCCACTTAAGGTGGAAAGACTGGGACTTCTTGTCTGTCTTGTATATTTTTGTTAATTGTTTTGCGAAGTGCGCTATACATCTGAACAGCAGCGAAAAAAAATCAAAAAAAAAAAAAAAAAAAAAAAAAAAAAAAAAAAAAAAAAAAAAAAAAAAAAAAAAAAATCAAAAAAAAAAAAAAAACATATCTAACCCTAAGCAACAGCGCATCGCTGGCATCCCTCTCTAAACACTTCATGTTTGCTGCCCCCAATAGATCTCTTTCTTCAGGACACCGGGCCCGTTTCCCTGAGGGAGGATGCGGCGGGTGTGTGTGCCTTAGCCTCCTTCCTGCTCTCTGGTGGCTCTTCCATATTTCATATCTTGTTGTTGAAAATGGGACGCCGGGCCCGTTTCCCAAAAAGTTGTTGTTCCCGATGGCATCCCTTTCAAAGCCTGATTGTATCTCTGTCAACCTCGAAAGAACGAAAAAAAAAAAAAAAAGGAGGGGGGGAGGGAGGGAGGGAGGGAGGGAGGGAGGGAAGAACTTTGGACAGACGGTCCTGACTGTAGCTTCCATATTATCTAGGGAACACGAGGGCCGGGGTTGCACTAGCAAAGGGGATAGGATAAAGCTCCTGAACCCGACTGTGTTTTATGCAGGAAAATACAGAAAAGCTATTCAATTTTGATTTCCTGCTCCTGTTTGCAAACACGTCAGGTATTCAATCCAATGCTCTTTGCTAGTGGGACCACAGCCGAGTAGCACCCATCTGGGTGTTACCGAAAAAAAAAAAAAAAAAAAATGGCATCACACACACTAACAGCAAGAACTGAAATGGGAAAGGAAAAAAAAAAAAAAAAGGTCAAATAAAGTTTAAAAGTCAAAAAATTGAAATTTAAAATTTTAAAATCACAGAAGGATTCCAACTTTGATAATGCAAGCGCCCAGCGCACAAATGCTGCTGTTCAACGCGCCGTTTCCACAGAGAGGAAATGGCACGTTGAGCAGCTGCATTTGGGCACAGGGTGCTCGCGTTATAAAAGTCGACGTCATCAGTCACCCTTGGCTGCCAAAACTTGGCGCTTTTTTGGCAGCTGGCATGGCGATGGTAGTGTGGTGTGGTGTGGGGTGGGCACATGGGTGCAAGGGGGCCACACGGAAGGGCTTCTGAAAGGCTCCTCCTGGCAATCGCTACCGTCTTGACCCGAATAAAATGCCCGATAATTATTGCTGCATCTGGACTGAAAGTTGTGCCAAATGCAGCTATAGCCTATAAGCCTATAATGACCAGGAGTTCTTAATCGGGTGAAGACGGTAGTCTCGCTGGGCTCGTCGTCAGGAATCCTCATCCGGCAGAGGTGGGCTTAGGAGGTCGTGTGCAGACTGCCGAGGGGCGAGACTCCGGCGCTGCAACATACCCTTATGAAACCGATCAAAGGCGTCGCTCCTCGGTCGTCGAGATGGAAATTTTGCAGGAGTGTCCTGTCCTAGGTGTCTTCGTTGAGGTCAGCCCGTGATTGGACGATTGCTCACAGTGACAACTTTATGACCCGCTGGTGACAAGGCTTCTGCTGTTTGAGCGAAGGTATAACGGTACTATAACCTCTATACAAGGATGAGGAGGTAGTAGGCATTGTTGACCCCTTAGTTTCTGGTTTAGGGGTTTAGGAGAGAAGGTTAACGGAGACCCTAATTTTCAGACCACTTGCCATGCCATTTATATGAAAACCAAAGGGTCATTTTAATCAAACTTGCCACCAATTCGAAGAAGAACAGGCGCATGGCCTGGGTGGTGTCCCTATTCCTCTTCCTCTCGTTCGTGCTTCAGTCCTTATAATAGACTAGGCATGCTTAGTTGCTTTGTTTTCGTTCTTTCGTTAGGGGGGCACACTGCCCCCGCTAACGAACTTGGCTGGTGATGCCTCGTTCGTTTTTTTGGGTGCTGCGCAAACAATTGTAAGGGAGGCCGGGCCCGGTTTCCGGCTTCTGATACTAAAGTTTGGTTATTAAAAAAAAAAAAAAAAAAAAAGTCATTCCACAGACAGACTGTTCTGGATATCGGACCACAATGAATTCGACTGTGGCATGGGAGTTGGGAAAAAAAAAAAAAAAAAAAAGAAGCAGCTGTGCTGCAATGCTCAAAATGTTCCACCAAAAATAATAATAAAGATTCGCTTTGGGGATTAAAAAGGTCATCCGGCAAAATGCCAAACACAAAAAGAAGAAGACAGCATGGGGGAAGAGTAGTAGGTTAGGCGGCTCAAACTGGGTAACCAAGTTTCAGACCTGCTGGCTCCTGTGTTAGCCTTGACTTCAACATTTATGTTTTTTGTCTTCGGCACTGCACCCCTGTTAATAAAGGTTGCAAGCTACAACTTCATTAAAAAAAAAAAAAAAAAAAAAAAAAAAAAAANAAAAAACAATACGTTAGGCAACAGGAAAACAAACCATCTACTTTTGGAATGTCTTGTGCTTAAACCACCAGTACTTCCTAAAGTCATGTCTGTTAACAAGCCGCGATTTTAGGAAACGTACAGGCCACTACAGGAGCGTCCAGATTCATCCGACTAGACACGTTTCTACTCTATTTTTTTTCCACGGCCTATAGCTGTGGATGCGCAGTCAATCTCTTCCGAAGGAAAGGAGTCGATCAGCGCAGCGCGTTTGAACGCGGCCCCGCCCCATATGAACGCGCGCGTTCGGCGCGTTCAAGCGGTTACATACGTTACGAGTTCTGATGATACTAGAGATAGCGACATTGAGACTGCAGGTTGTGTTTCAAAAAAAAAAAAAAAAAAAAAAAAAAAAGAGACTGCAGGTTGAGGACTACTTTGGGATCTAAGAAGAAAAAGGGAACCTGTGCACCCAACTTGTGCCCGGATATATGGGTGGGTGTCCAGCCAGCCGGGCATGACCCCCGGGCAGGGTTCCCAGCAACCCCAGCTCAAAAACAGTACATTCATAAAATTTCGGTAAAAAAACGCTGCGTAGTACCGCAATCCAAAAGGGAAAAGCAAAAAAGAAAAAAAAGTTTCAAATAATTGTGGTAGGCTGGTACCAACACGTAGCTCTCTTTACTTGAGCCTAATGCCTGCATACAGTGCATAGTAGTGCCTTCTTTTATTTCTGTATTTTACTATTTTTTTAGTACTAAACTAGGCTACCAGCCGGGCCGCCGGGGTCCCGGGTGGCCAGCCCGTGCAAGGACCAGGGAAGGTCTCCCCCCAAAAAACAAAAAAAAATACAAAAAATACGAAAAAAAAAAAGATGTCATGCAGAAAAATAAACTGAACAACTTTTGCCTCAGGGTCACATCGAAATTCTTGACCAAATTTAAAATCAAAAGTAAAAACTAAAAATGTACTTTTTATTTATTTATTTTTCTTTTTTTCTTTTTTTTAATTTTGGCCCGGCCGTGCAAGTGACCCCGGGCCACTCTGGTAGCGTAGGGATTAAAGTATTTTACTTTATTTTTTAGTACTTTAGTATAATTTTCCTATTTTTTTAGTATTTTTAACTATTTTACTATTTTAGTATTTTAGTATTTTTATTATTTTCCCTTCAAGCCTAGACAGGTACTCTTCTCCCTCCCTGCTTATATCTTTCACACAATGGGACCACTCACCATTTATACCAAGATAAATTAATAATAATAATAATAATAATAATAATAATAAATATTAAATGAAATATCAAAAATATTAGGGATTCTGCGGGAACAAAAACTTAAGCAGAGTCGGCACACCAGTGTTGATCGGCAACCATCTCCCTCTCCCTCCTCCTCGGTCTCACGCTGTGACATCCTTGAATGCGCAGGGGCACTGCTCATCTTGCTTCTCCGTGTCGTTCCAATTTTAACAGACGTCCCAAGCGATGCAAAAAAAATACAATTTGACCAAAGACGATACAATAAAATAATACCATGATTCCGTCGTCTACAATTTCGACAATTAAACAAAACCACTGCCAAAACTCTTCCTCGTCTTTCTTGCCTTTTTTCAGTCTCCCAATTTCTCTCTGCAAAATTCGCAGACGGCTCCTCCCTCCCTCCCTCCCTCCAGTTCTCCCATTGGACAGAATCTTACATAATAACTTAGTAATAACTGACTTTATGCTTCCCCCTTTTTTTTCCTTTTTTTTGTTGACTTCAGCAGTTTTTTCCTATATAAAAAAAATATATATATATATTGTATATGAAGATGGAAAAAACAAAATTGAGGGGACGCAACCGTTTCATGTACTCCCTTTACTGGAATCGGCTGACGATAAACAGAAAAAGAAGCCGAAGTATGAAAAAGGCAATTTTGAAAAAGATAAAGAGTAAAAGAGTGTACAGAAGAGACAGTGCCACTGGCAACCACCTCCCTCCTCTGGGTTGCATGGCTCCCCCACCCGATTTCTCTCGGCTACGTGCACGAGATTCCCTCCCTCCGTCATTTCCCACAAATAATGTAACAAACATAATTATTAAATTAATAAAAATAATAAACCGCAGTAGCATATTAATACCGTCTGTGCCTGGGCAAAGTGTTTCAGTTCATCTTATTGAAAAATAATAAACCGCAGTAACATATTAATTCTGTCTGTGCCTGGGCGAAGTGCTACTCGTTCATCTGATAGCAACTGGATTCGAACTTGGGTCTGTCTTTCAGCAGTCCATGGGTGTCAACAGTCCTGGGCAAAGGCTCGAATAGTACACAGCCCAAAGGGACAGAATGCAAACTCAAGAAATGAATACGTACTATGTAGCATGTACAAAGTACTACAAAGCCACCACTTTACGTAACTAGTTGAGAAAAACTCTGAAAAAGAAAAACTCTCATAAGTTTTATAAATCAAGAATAGCGTCAAAACGAGTGCAAAATGCCACAAAGATGACAGACAAAGGTGTGACGGCAAAGGAAACAAGACGCCGTGAACTCCCTCCCAGACAAAGGGGGTAATGTGGCTTGCTTAGCCCCTTCTTCAAAACTGACGGTCGCAGGCATTGGGGGGTACAAGTGGGCGGTACAAACTTCTCCGCAGCATCGCAGCATCAAAAGGCCTTCCAAAAAAAATACCCCCCTTGGCAAAAAATTGGGGGGGACAACCCCCCCCCCCCCCCCTCCCCCCTTCGTCCGTTAGCCTGCAAAGAAACCCAACCAATTCATCGATCGATCGATTACATCATTACAAAAAGAAAAAAAAAAGTCAGAAAGAGATGTAGAGAGGCAGACGCATAAAGATTCTAACTTCAAAGTTCGAACGTCAGACTTCAAAGCCATATGGAGCTTAAAAAAAAAAAAAAAGGAGAGCATACATATAGACATGGGGTCCGTGGGCCTCGCTCCACTGCACAACTTTCTTGCCGGATGTGCAGCTGGTAATGGTCCCGATACATTCAAAATATTGCGTCAGTTAGAATGCATCTGGTCCATACTGCTGTCCACATAGATGCCAAAGATTGCGCGGCGGAGCAAGTCCTCATGTCATGGACAAAAGGAGTCGTAGACATCGACACATAATCACTCATTCACATTTACAAGACAAAGACAAAACTACTTTCGTTTGGGGGGGGGGAAAACAAAAAGCAAAAAAGTTGAAAAAACAAAACACAAGAACAAAAAAAGATTGAGAGTGCTGTAGCAACCTGCAAAATTCTGCTATTTTGCTTTCCTTCGGAAAAAGAAAGAAAGGAAAAAAAAAAAAAAAAGATTGAGAGTGCTTTTCTAAGATTTTGCCGTTATTGAAGGTTGTTCTGCGTGCTTCCTGAGATTGCTGCTGTCTGGGTCTGTTCTACTCATCTCGGGTGAGGTCCCACTAGCAAAGAGGGTTGGATAAATATCCTGAATCTGGACGTGTTTTCAGCAGAGATGCCGAAAAGCTGTTCAATCTGGACATTCTGCACCTTTCCACAAACAAGTCCAGATTCAGGTTCTCAATCCAATCCTCTTTGCTAGTTGGACCTCGCCCCTGCTTGCACTGGAGTTCGAACTCACGTCTGTATTTCAAAAGTTCTATATTTATTCCAACTCAGGCCGTACAGTTCGATGATGATATTTCAAGGCACACTCTTCATCTTTCACATTTCCTGCTTTCTTCTTTTTTGAAGTTTTTTCTCCTTTCATTTTTCTACTTATTTTCTATGACAACGTTTTTGGAGTTTTTTCACCAATTCTTTCCTTACTTCCCCCCCCCCCCCCCCCCCCCCCTTTTTCTTTTTTTTTTAACACGGCGACGGCCTTGAGATATCGTCACTGCACTGACCTGCCCCAGGTAATTCAGATATTTCTTTCATCTGGTTCCATCTGGATGCCCACTAGATTACATGGGCAGGCGAAGGCTCGTGAAGTTTTTGTGAAGCCCACTCCGTATTTCAAAATTTCATGGGTGGGTGTACCAACTGGGCTCGGCTCGTAATTTTTTTATTTTTTTCCTTTTTGAACTTTTTCAACGTTCACGGCATTTGCTTTTTTTTTTNAAAAAAAAAAAAAAAAAAAAAACCCTGCCCACAAGATATGTACCCATGAATCTGGAATGGTCAACCCCTGCCCATAAGGCCTTTACCCATGAATCTGGAATAGTCTGACCGACTGGGAGATCAAATGGGTATATCAGTACAGGGAGCTGGCAAGGATTGGTTCCATAGGTAGCTAAGCCTGTGCAGTCATATCCTGCAGCAAAATGTTCCAATCAGATATATCCATACGCCTCCAAATGACCCCAAAGCCCTAATATCTGCAATGGTCCCACACCTTGGGATATCCAAGAAGAATTGCCAGAAGTACCCGCCGCAAAACATGGCAGAGGTCCTTTGGGCAATCTATTGAAATCGGAACGATGCACTGAAGATTAGCACAGCCCCTAAAAAAATTGGGAAAAGGAAAAAAAGAAAACATGGGGAAGGGAAGAACTTGCACCGATAGAGCGGACAGATCATGAAACCAAAGTTGTGTCGACAATGGCTCCGCCACTACGGGAGGTGGGTGCCGTTGAGGGCAGCCATCCTTCCAAGCCTACAAAATCCCAAACCAGATTGAACATTATCTCCTCTCCCAGAGTACAGCCTCACATGGTATGCTATTCTTCTACATGAATTGTGATTGTGAACCTTTTTTTTTTTTTTAATCTTTTAGTTGTACACATTTGAGGTAGGACAGTTGGCATTTCAGCTCAAGAGCGCAGGTACCAACCCACCTCATCCCAGGGTTAATGACGAAGAGTACCCAGTCGCACAGGCATCACCCTTAGTCCCCTTGAGGTGCTGCGAGCAGCCCTTCCATTCTCATCAAGAACCGCCTACCCCCAACAGGTACAATTTATTGGATCATCCCCCCAAGGGGTGCCTGACCCTAGTAGGCGAATGCACCGTAGCCCAGCTGCTGGCTCGCAGACAGCAGGCACAGATCTAATCCCAGCCAGCCAGCTGCAGATGCTTCAAAGAAGTGCCCGCTGCAACCTTACCCTGGCACAAGACAGCGGGCTCAGACCCTCCCCCGTGGACCGAGCGCCTTCCCATCGAGGCTCGGATAGGGAACCGGCAATCTGCCCCCAAGCATCCACTCCGGCATGGCAGGGATCGAACCTGCAACCTGCGTCCCCAAAGGACGGGTGTATTTCGAGACCTTCCTGCAGCATGCGCCACAGGTGCCCCGCTGGGCAATGCTCGAACCCGCAACTTGTGGGAATGAACACAAAGGCACCCAATCCATCTAAGCTACATCTGGGCTACAGTGCAAACACGGTGTGCGAATGACCCTAAGCTTGGCGCTCAGAATCCACAATATCAATATTCAGACCATCACACCGGAGTGCAGGCTCAAAGATTCGAACCCACACCCTAAGCCCCAACAGTGAGTATTGCAGCATACCAATATCCAGTACGGCGCACCAGAGTGCAGGCTCAGAGATTCGAACCTACACCCTAAGCCACAAAAGTGCATGACCTACCAGCGCTCGACCAACTGAGCTAGGCGCCATTCACAACTGTTCATGGGTGTACCAACTGATGCTCCAATCTATTTGTGGGGAGTAGCACGTGCTGGGAATTGGGCCCAGCGTCCCATATGAAAATATACACATATTATGTACTATTAACCAAACTTGCAAGCGGACGCCGTCCGGGGGGCTCCGCACATGTGGCAGATCGCCGGACCGGACCCGTGCGGCGCACGAATGTGCACCCGACGACCAGTTACGCCCCACCCCCCCCCAAAAAAAAAAAAACTAGCTTTGTGATCCTCGCTCCCCTTCTTCCTGCTTTGTGAACAGATCGTGGGGGGTACATGGAGCATATGTACCCCATCAAGAGTACGCGGCAGCGCATCTTCCTTCATTTTCTCCATCCTCTCTCCCCTGCCTTGGTGTTCTCGCATCCTTTTTCCCTCCTGGCCTTAACCTTCCTCTATCCATTTCATTTCCCTCAAAAAAAAAAAAAAAAAAAAAAAAAAAAACATTTCCCTCCTTTCTTCCTTTTGTGTAGAATTATTTTATCATTTTCATTTGATTGCATACGACTCGAACTTGGGTCTGTGTTTCAACTGTTTGTGGGTGTGCCAACTGTCAGTGAGCTATAGGCTCGTTGAGTCGTTGTTCATTTCCCTCCGTCCATTCGTTCAATTCGTGATCCTTTCAATGATGTTCTGTTGGCCTCCGTCCACCACTCAACCATCTGCATGCATTTGGACACCTTTTTTTTCCGGACCACGTGCATTCGGAGGAGTGCAACATTGTGAAATCTATCGGAGGGACGATTCTGAGCTCCAGATACATGTATAGAGTGTTGTGTAGTGAAGCGAGGCCTTATGCGTCGGAGTTTGCATACCTTGTCATCATTCCTCGACTCAGGTCGTCAGGATGTCAGGGAACGCCATTAACGTTGTCCCAACGACTTTGGCCTTCGAATCGGGGAAGCACTCGAATCCGGGCCTGGCGGAGACCTTTCCGGTCTTGTCGACCTCCAACGGATACGGCATCAAGTGCGCCACCATATCCACCGGCTCCGATTGCACATACAGCTGCCAGTTTCGCTCTGCCATCTCCTGCACCTTGCGTACACACTTGACTTTCCAAGGAGACAAAAACTCTTTCTCAACCGAGCCCAAGTGCTCCGCCCACAGACTCATTCGGAAACCGTGAACTGCACCTTTAGGAACCTTGAACTTGGGGTCTTCACTATTCGTCGACGGCTTCTTCAGTGCATCCTTGTCAGGGAAAAGGTAATGCGGTTGCAGGGCGCCGATCGCAATCTCGGTGTCGCGGGCACCATCCATCGAACGCTGATTGATGTTCGCCGACCCGACAATGATGTAGTCATCGTCGACAATCATCATCTTCGAATGAACGTAAATCATCATCCGTCGATTCTTCTGTGCCTCCTTGTACATGGGCTCAGCATCCGTTATTGGGGTTTTGGGGGCAAGCTCAATATCCGGGCCTTTCACTGTCTCTCTCACGCCTACGCAAAAGAAATTGAGGTAATCTGTCGGATGCTCATCGTAGCGCTCCGCCGTCCTAAGTGCATCGGCAATAATCTTGTACATCATCTTCATGGTGTTGTACTGCCACCGCAGCATTTCTTGAAGGGGCGAGGAGGGGGTGAGATGCGGATCTCCCTCCGGATACATAGGCACAAGGATGTAAGCTCCAAATGGCTCACCTTCTCTAATTTTGGCAGCTATCTTCAGTGCTATTTCCACCGGAATGGTGTGGTATGATCCTGCGGACTGCGAATCCTCCCACATATGACAACTTCCCATGAAGTACTGGTTCTCGATGTAGATGAATCGCTCTGCGTTCCGGATTGCCTCGATGTACGCATTCTGAATGCTGCGGTCGATGACCTCGTTCTTCCGGCTCACCAAACCCATCCTCACCGCCTCTCTAGGATTCTCAGGCAACCCAACCACTGACTGGTTATCGATAGACCGGAACAGCTGAACGGACACAAGGGGGAATGAACCAAGTTAGACTGGTGTCCGAGTTGGTGCGATGTACATCCCAGTTGTGGCAAGCGATTGGCAAGCCATTAAAAAGCTCGTGCAAAGTTCGACAAAAAACAGGCATAAAGGTGGTGGAAAGACAGCCAACAAATGCTCCAGCAATGACTTCGACAACCGCCCTTGTCCAACCACACACGCACAGTCAGCTCAAAACTTTCAGCGGCTCTGGGCAACCAGACCAAAATGGCTGGCAGCACCAACCAGCCAAAAACAACAAAAACAAAAACAAAAACAAAAACAAAAACAAAAACAGAAACAGAAACAAAAACAAAAACGCCATGCCGACGTTTCTGCAAAGCTTATTGCGTAAGGGGCCCGGATGCACTCTGGTGACTTAAGGCATCCACAAAGTGGCACAAGCATTGAACTCGCTAGTCGCAACTATTCAGAAAAAGAAAATGGGGGTTGTTTAAACTTTAACGCATCCCCAAACATTTAGCTCAAAGACAACGATACTGACAAACGGAAGAAAAAACAAACGAACAAGCAGTAACATTTACTGCTCAGACAATTTGGGGGGGGGGGTTAGTTGGGGTCGGAAAAAGAAAATGGGCTTGTTCATTTGCTTTTTCTTCCGTTCAACAATAACGATGACAATGATGATGATGCTGATGAACGAAAACGATGCATAATTGTGACAACCATTATGATGATGACCAAAGATGGTGGGCAATGGTCCTGAGGTGTCGAACCGCTGCTAAGGTAGTAACATACGACCACAACGGCGAAAACCAGGGAAAAAATGACACCCGCAAAGAGGCAAGAAAACCAGAGAAAAAATGACAAAGTGTTTCACACTCAACATTTACTGACAATGGAGTTTGACTTCCAAAAGTCAAACTCGTCGTTGACGTTTTGAAGAAGCTCAAACACCATTGTCGACTTCTGACAAGAAAAAGAAGCAAGGAGGAGGAGGAGGAGGAAGAAGAAGAGGAAAAAGAGGAAGAAGAAGAGGAAGGAGAAGAAGAAGCAGAGAGAAAGAGAGAGGCAGTTGCATCGTGCTCATCATATGGGTGTGACCATCAGAAGAAGAAGAAGAAGAGAGAAAGAGAGAGGCAGTTGCATTACGCTTATCAAATGGGTGCGACCATCATCCACGTCAAGCATCAGGGATGGGACATGACAGCGCAGCAGTTGTTCGAATATGCAGAATGAAGAGAAATCAAAAGCAGAATGAAGAGAAATCAAAATGATTATTTAACCAAGTAAAGGCATCAGTTTGTTTTGCTACTTGGTCAGTTTCAAGAAATGGTTACCGTTGACGACTCACCCACGCCTCTCCACGTTATGGCCTGCGGAGAGCCTGAGACAGTGGCATTGCTTTTTTGATGTTTTTCATATCCGGAAGGATGTGCCACGGCTCTTTTTCTTCTTCTTCTTTTTTTTAACCAAGTAAAAGCATCAGTTTTTGCTACTTCGTTAGCCTGAGACTGCATACCCAGTTTCCAGCTGTTATAACGAAAGCACCGACTCTTTTTTTTTTTTCTTTCTTTTTCCCACATGGTTAACAGATTGATGCCCAAAACAGGCGGCAGCCCACATACCTGCACATGCCATGTCTCAGGGTCTTCGTCCGAGGACACGGGCTGGGGCCCCAATATGGCACTCCCTGGTGTACCAATTGGAATGAGATCTATATTGTAAAGGGCAGCTTGTTTCCGCCACCTTTGCTGGAAGTTCTCTAGGACATCCCATGCAATCGGCCCTTCGACTTTTGCGTGGATGTCGTGCCATGGCTGTCTTGGCCCTCCCTTGTCAAGGGAGGGCGATCCTGCCACACTTCCTTGGTAGAAGTCGTCCTTGTGCCATGTCCGCAATGTCGAGAAGGGATAATGCCCGGGAGTGTCGAATCGGCCGTCGGTCACGTCCAGTCCTCCAACAAAGGCGACCAATCTCCTGTTCCCTCTGTGTCCTTCCACATCAGGTGTCCATTTCCATTTCTTACCCCCTCTCGTCGGTTGGTCAAACATGGGGGCGTCAACAACAATTGTCTTTTGGTGGTGTGTAAACATCATTGCTTTTGAGCCTTTGAAAACGCCAAAGTCGTAGTTGCGGGTGGCGAGCACGCATCGCACTTGAGTGCTCTTGAAGAATTCCATGGTTTGCTCATCATGCGTTTTCATCGCGCCACCTCCCGTCACAATAGTCGACGTTCGGTCATCCCAAACAAGCAACAGCACGCGAACACCCTCCGCCGCCTTGCGCTTCAGCAGTTCGCCCAACCGAAGATCTTGCGCGCCTTGGATCATTCTGTTCTCATCTCTTATCAAGGTGACATCAGTGTAAACGGACCACCCAGTGATGTATATAAGATGCTTGGCATCCACAATGGCTTTATGAACATCCTCCCAAGCCCGTTCATGATGATAAACCTGCGACCCGGAGAGCGGGATCTCCGGCAACCGCCCGTCTTCCACATGCGCATCCTGATAGAGAGTGACACGGCAACCTCTGCGCTGCTTGAAGAACGCATTCTGCACCTCTTTCTCCCCCCCCAGCAGCCTGGCCATCCACTCCTTCCTCATGCTTCTTTTCAGCAAGGGCCTGTACTCTATGCTCAATCTCATCCTTGCACTAGGGTGTTTCTGACCGGACCCGTCCATCATCTCAAACCAGCCTTTATAGTCACGCCCAGCCAGCAAGTCGTGCACGGGAAGCTTGACCTGCGCCAGGACCACATGGTCGACAAATAACTTGTTGCGGATCTCAATCGTCACATCAGACGCAAAGTGTGCAACATAGATATGGAACACTTCATCCCATTGCGGGTCCGACGTGTTTCTAGAGAAGCTGGTTCGGGCAACATCGGTCTGCCCGACACGGATGTAAGCATAAAGCTCCACATCCTTCCCTGCTCCTCCGATGTAGGTGTCCAGCGTCGTCTTGACCTGCATGACATGTCATGATTGTCATCAGAAAACCCAGACAAGGCCGAAAATGGAACCACGCATCAGTGGAGTGAGACAAGCCACAGTGTACCGAACACTCTCTCGGGTTGTTACTAAAAAAAAAAAAAAAAAAGAAGCATGCATCAATGGAGTCAGACAACCAAAAAAAAAAAAAAAAAAAAAAAAAATGGAGTCAGACAACCCATGATACAACCTTGTTGTATGTCGACTGAGCAAAACAATGCCTTCAGGCACTCAGCCATACCCCCCCGGAAAAACGGGATTTGAACACGCGACTTCTGGCGGCCCAAAATGGTAGCACTCGTTAATGGAGTCCGACAACCGATGATACAATCTTGTTGTATGTTGATTTAGCAAACCAATGCCTTCAGCAACTCCGCCGTACCTCCTGGGAAAAATGGGATATGAACACGCGACTTCTGGCGGCCGAAAATTGTAGCACGCATCCATGGAGTCGCACGAGGCCAAAAATGGAAGCATACATATCAAGGGAGGCAGAGGATGGAGTGATGGTTTTGTGTAGGCACTCGATGAATGCATCTGACTGCCATTGCAGCCACATGCTATTGAAAAGTACTTGTCTTTGTTTGTCCATTTAAAAAAAAAAAAAAAAAAAAGGGAGATGATCAAGGAAACCTCAAGAGCATGCAGATGCTGCACCCATCACCAACCATCAAACGCAGTGCCGTGCAGTGCCGTGCACCTTTCAATTAAACCACCAAACACGGTGAGTGTAAATTTCAATTACACCACCCCTATACCTTAAGCTATAGCCCTGGGGTGAGGTTCCCCATGCAAAGAGGATTGGAATGAATGCCTGAATCTGGATGCATTTTCGGAAAAGTGCAGAAAATCGCAACATATCAGTTTTTTCTGCATCTCTCCATAAAACACATCCTTAATCAGGCACTTAATCCAATCCTCTTTGCTTCTGGGACCTCGCCCCTGGTTGCCAGGAGGCCCATCCTTTTTTTTTGCAGTTCATGCATTGGATCGACGATCTGACAGACAGTTTGTTTCCCTATCTACAGCTTTGTCCTGATCCAGCTGCCGCAGGACGATAGGGGTCTGTGCAGGCTCTACCTGGGCAGGCCCGGGCAAGATGCCAGCCAGTCCGAGTGTTAACTTAAAAAAAAAAAACGCAAAAAAAGTCCAGGAAAAAAAATAAAAAATGCTTGTGGCTGGTGGCTCAGCGGTTAGAGCACCGGTTCGAAATGCACATTGTGGTACGAGGTTGCGGGTTCAACAACTCCGTTGCCTCGCGCACGTACACCGACGGCACTTTCATAGCGCACAAGCCATTCCCCCCGCCCCCCYCCCCCCCCCCCCTTGGGCGACGCATTATACAGACACTCCCTGCGCACAGCCCAAGGGGTCTAGGTCCATGGTTGTAGTATGCTGGATACGGCCATAGGAGGGCTGCTTGTATGCTTGGTCTTAGGGGGGTCTGATGATCGGGGCCTTATCTTTGTCACCACCATGGGCCGGGGGGGGGGGGGGAAAAGGTAGATTAAGGGGAGAAGGGTAGACTAAGGGGGGTAAGCGCTTAATTGCACCCTTGTTCCACCCTTCTCTCACTCACTTGTTCCCTTTTGCTCACTGCCTCGCTCCCTCTCTCACTTGCTCACTCACTCATTCCTTCATGCTTACCCCTTTCCCCCCTCCCCCCCTCCTCCTTCCCCTCCCCCCTCCCCCCCCTTGGGCGACCCATGCTAAGGTAAGCTTATACGGACACTGCCTGCGCACCGCCCAAGGGGTNGGGCCCTTGGCCCTGTATAAAACTATCGGAAACCTGATACCTCTGCATGGCCACTTGGACCCTCCGCTCTGTCAGCTTCGTCAGTCTGTACTAGTGTTCGGAAAAGTCCGGGCAAAGAAAAAAGAATAAAAGAAAGAAGAAGAAGGGGGGGGGGGGTTACAGAAGGTTTACAGGGGGGAGGGGGAGGCGGGGGGTAAAGTGTAGACTAAGGGGAGAGTTTACTGCCTAGAGCATTGATACCTATAACAATAGAGTCGTTCATAGGGCCCTTGGCCCTGTATAAAACTATCGGAAACCTGATACCTCTGCATGGCCACTTGGACCCTCCGCTCTGTCAGCTTCGTCAGTCTGTACTAGTCCGTGGGGGTGCCATGGTGAAGACTACGGAGGGGCCCATCTTGGGGGGGGTTATCCTACGGACACACTGGGTGTTCGTACGGGGTAGGGGCTGGGCACTTCTTCATCCCACAGGGGTCTCACGATGCCTGTGGGTGGTGCTTTATCCAGGCTGGTGACCATCGGAATTCCCATTGAGGGAATTAGTTGGGACTGTGAGTCCTTGGGGAGCCTTGGTTACGAAAGGCATCATGCTTAGGATAGGGGAGGGCGGGATATCGCATCTTAGTACAAGGGTCGTTCGCTGCCCGTAGAGTCTGCGGGATGAGGCACAGATGGGGGATGACCATATATACGGGGACCCCACCTATGCCCAGGCCGTCCTTCACATTAGAGTTAGGGTACTATCTGCGCGAAGACATTCGGGTCAATCCGGTAAGTGTTGGCGCAGATGACGACTTGCAATCTGAGCATTAGCATAGGTCATGGCATCATGGTGCCACTTTGAGGTGACGGGCACCCCCTGAGGCCGAGGCCTGGCATTCACCCTCTACTACACCCTGGACCTTTATATAGCCCGCCTCCTGAAGGTAGGGAGTAACTATACTACCTCAGGAGGCTTTACTGTAAATGTCTTACAGTTAGCGTTTCACGGTCGCCACCTTCTTCTTATGCACATCATGCGACGCCAGGCGGTGGCCTTAATGACCATCCTCCTCATATTTCTGCCTGTATTTTGCACAGACCCGGCCATTATATGGCACTCGTTCGTGCAGCTGCCCAGTGGGAACTGTGGGATGGTGGGACGATGATTCAGGCTATTTCCAACGTAAATGAGCTTTTGGGTGCATTGGCGAATCATACTTTATTCTGGATTATTGACAGACTCTCGTGGGACACCTGTCGGGGCAGAGACGCGGTGCGTCTTGGTTGTGGCATTCATCATCTATGCCATCACCATTATCAAACTATTGCAGCCGCCGCCGTCTGTGCCGAAGGGTGTCCAACATTCCCTCATTGTACACATCCCTACCACCCAGACATTCGTTGTCCCTTTCGTGAGCGAGGACGCTATCAGAACTGCATGATGCCGCACTCTGATGAACGTCCTGCTGTTTGTTTGACATGTGGACAGCATGTCCTTTGTCAGGACTGCTTTGATGGCATGGTCCGTGCTAGCCATCCTGCTGAATGCTGTGCTGGCACAGCTCTCCTTGGGTATCCTTGTGAACATCCACGCCACCCTCAGCGTGCCTGTCCTATCTGCCGGGGTGGGGGGTCCTCTTCCTAACTGGTCTCAATAGCATCAAGCAGGTCGGGAGCACCACTGATTATATGACATATAAAGCTTTCGATACTTGGAAAAATGAAAAGAAAAAAAGAAAAAAAGAAAAAAATTCAGAAAAAAAAAAAAAACCAAAAAAGAAAATAAGGAAAAATATAAAATGTGTTGAACTTTGTTGTGACAGTGGCAATTGGTTTATCTGAGGGATGTGTCAATTGCTTTGCTTTTCACTGGATCCCTCTCTCTCTCTCGTTCTCTTGCCTCTGTGAGGTTTGGCTTCCTACTCCTTTTCTTTACCTCTTTGCCTTTTGGCTGCGTGCAAGTGTGTGGGATGGGGGCAGCCAGCGCTCAACCTGTCATCCACGTGGCTGGCCTTGTACGTAAGAGGTCATGAACAGGTGGGGCTTTCCTTCCTTCCTTCTTTTCCTTTCCTTGTTTTGCTTTTTTTCGCCTTCGCGCTCTGATTTACAGTGTGACAAGCTGAAGAAGAATTAGTAGCAGGTTATCAGACTTGCAGTACCCAGGGTTCGATCCCTAGACCTCACCCTACCTATGTACAGTATCTGTATGGATCCCGAGAATTGAACCTGTGACCTGTGTATTCGCAGATAGTTGGTAGGTCTGTCGTAGGTCCATAGGCAGTAGGGGTTCGATCTGTAGGTCTATAGCGTAGAAGTCTTAGTGAGTTCCGGAAGCTTAGCTGTAGACCTTCTAGAAGGTAGGCAAGTGGGCAAGTGGTCAAGTGGCGAGGCAAGTGGTGGACTAAACCGCAGTGCAACAGCCGTACAACATCGGTAGGATAGCGGTGAAACGGTATTCACCAGTTCGCAGTAGCTGATGCAGACCCCAGGGCTCGATCCCTAGTTCCCCATCTTACCTGTGTACAGTATCGGCGTCAACCCGTAGATTTGAACCTGCTACCTGTAGGACCGCCAGTGGTAGGTAGGTTTCCGTAGGTCACAGGGTAGAAGGGATGAACTGTAGACCTGTAGGGTAGGAGTCTAGACAGTTTAGAGGTCGTAGCTGTAGACTGCCTGAAGGGTCAAGGTCGTAGCTGCTACTTACCTGAAAGGGCAAAGTCATAGCTGCTACAGTACCGAAAGGCCAAGTTAGAGGTTTCTAGAAGTGGCCTTTCGGAGTGAGCCTGCGTTCAGCAGAGGCAAGTGGTCAAGTGGTGGGAGTCCACCTAGTACAGTCAGCAGTCCCAGTCCACCCAGTCCGGTCCAGTCCAGCAAGTACCGTCTGGGACTGTGTGCACGATGGGCCAGGGGTACAGGGCAGACCAACGCAGCACAGAAGTAAAATCAAGAGGCTGCGCCCAGCCATTCATTCATAGCGCTGCCTCAGCGTCTAGTGCAAGGAGGTCTGCAGGAGGCCCGAAGACGAAGTGGGCGAGAGTGAAGCAGTGTAGCCATAGCGATAGGTAGCGGCAGCCATAGCTGCCATAGCTTAGTGTAGAGTGCAGTGTGTGTGTACTGTGCGAGTGTTCAGGGTGATGTGCGTGGGACATCCAGGGTGATCCAGAGTGCAAACAGTGTGTTGTGTGGGCGCACAGCCGCCATAGCCAGTTGGAAGAGAACTCTTATCTGGTTACAATAT